TGCATTTACATGCGTTTGTGCTTTGTAAATATTTTTGTGGCACCTTTATAATTGATTAGAGCATTTTGGGTTGGTATTTAAGCCTTTTTGGAATGTTAGCCTTAACAAATGTTATATCTTTGGATTAAATGTTTGAAGGCCAAAGTCTAAAAGCCTGCAGTAGCTCATCTGCATATTGTTTGTAGCCATCCTAACACATCTGCCTCCTTTTTTGGCAGGAAAGGTGCCCACTAATTCATGTGGCCCCTTCTCCTGAGCCTTACCATGCCTCTTTCTACTCCCAAACAGTCTCGTGGCGTGTAGCTGCCAGTGTCCCTATTTCTCTGGATAAAACTGTTGTGAAAAACATAATGAGCAAACCCTCAAACCCCTTATGAACAAAAATGTCAGATCATACATACAGCCTAACTTGTGTCTGTTGCTAATCATCTTGAAATCTATTTTCAGCTCTTTGTGACCTGGGTGCCCCAGCTGACAGAGTGGGTGAACAATCTGCATCCGATGTTGGGGGTATGGGAACTGCTGTAATTGGGTGGGGATGTTTCAAATGCATGTTGCATGTGTATTTGTGAAATCTCATGCACCTTTTTTGTTTTTGTGGTGCAGGGAAGTTCAGGCACTCCAACTAGTTCAACAAAGTCACCATCACCGACACCTGAGTTTGCCTCAACGTGTCCGGTAAGAGATGCTAAAGATGTTATCCATAATGAGTTACCCATTTAGAGTATAACTGTTCCTGGCTGGGCAGGATTTGGCAACTTGATGTGTAACTTACTTTTTTGGATCATTGCTTAGTCATGAGCTGGAGAGAGTGATGTGCATGTGACAATTTGGAATTTTAGCTTTTCACTTTGTCTAAATCCCAATCCAATCACATTTCAGAGCAGGAAGGTATCAGTCTGGGTAAAGATGCCAAATCATTTATTTTGGCCAGATGTTCATGGAGTGTAATATGTCAGGGAAAAGGCCATTTGCCAATACCTGGTTCTAGGGGTGGGACAAGAACATGAGCTAGTGTTTGTTGTCGGATGAGCCCCCTGTCCTACTGTATGCTTGTGCTGTGTGTTAAACACTCTTTGAATACATTTTTTTGTTTGTTTCTCCTTGCTAGCCAACATTGGATTCAGCTGGATTGGCACCTCATCCACCTGAACACAGCACCCTTCTTGTGCTTGGGGAAAGGCTGGTGTCCAATCTGGAGAGATTATTGGAGCAAAGGAGGAATTATAGCCCCCCTCCTGATTTTGAAACATTTTACTGCAGCTCCAACACTCAACCCTGCTTTGAATTGCCACTGCAGTTGAGGCTCAGACTGCAATCATGCAGCAAAATACCACACTGCTGCAGGAAAACAATCACCTGCTGCATGACATTCCGAGCCTTGTGTCAAGCAGGGCCTGATCAAAATGCACCATCAACCAGCGGCTCACAACCTTGTGTAGTCGTTTGGAGTCAATGCCAATGGTGCTACACAGTTCCCTGCTGGGAAAGTGGTGGGGAAGCAGCAGGGGAATGACATATTAAGGTGCCTATTCAGGAGTCGCCCACTCTGGAGGAGCCCTCTCAGCAAATCTCACCCCCAGCCCCCAAATCCCCAGGTGCAGGATAAACCCTTTATCCCTCATCACACTTCATCTTCCTCACACTCCTCCACTTTGCCCCTTGGCCACACCCCCAGCTTTCATAGCCCCTCACATTGTTCCTACACACACACACCACAATACCACTACCTCCCTTACCAAACACATCCTACACACTTCAAATGCCCCCTACCAACACACCCCCTCCTAACCACACATTCAATCCCCTTCTTCTGTAGTCCTTCCCTCTCACTCTTTCACAGCCCCACAACCAATTTACACCACTATCCAGCACCATTTTAGGTTATTCCCCTTCATCTATCTACACCAATACCCTTTCCCCCAGGCCCTGGACACCTACCCCCCACCCTCATACCCCCTCCCTCATACCCTCCCCCGCAGCAGCAGCAGGAACCATTCCGAGGCGCCCGAGCCCCCGACCATGACCTTCCACCCCCCCGCCTATAATTTAATAAATTTGTAATTTTCTTCAAAGTGGCTGAACGTGTCTTGCATATTGTCAAATGTGTTTGGGCTAATAATGTGGAGTTGGTCATGTAGGAAATCCAACACAGGTTTTTTTTAGGTTTTAGTGTTGCGCGACAGTAATTCTAAATAGTTAATGTTGTTTTTGCATCATCAGACCCCAGCCCTTCTCAACAAACTGGTGGACCGAAGGACGACTAGCCAATCTAAAACAGCGCTGTCAAGTACGTAACAATGCTGCACCCTGCACAAACCTTTCCCAGCTAATGGACCACACTCTGTGTTCCGACATCCTGGGAGCAATTGTTACTGGGTCAGGTTAATGACGCAATTAACCCCTTCACACTGCCAATACCTCCTTTTTGCACAGAGAAAGAGGCAACTTGGCAATTCAGCAATACCACTATGATGGTTGCATAAGCATCGGTATACCACTGTCAACGCAGGCAGCGATATATACTGAAATTTAAAACACACACAATAGCGCTCTTCAGAGACAGTGGGTACTTATTTTGCATTAAAGAGCTTTAAAAAACAGTTCAAACACTTCCAGAAAGTAAGCTTTATAAACTAAAAGGTCAGAAGGGTGGAAAGAAAATTATTTTCAGAAAAAGATGTAGCAGATGATTGGATAGATACAAAGCAAAGAGAACAGACGTTTAGAGGGATAAAGTACTTGCCTTGGGTTAAGCAGATCAGGTTTTCACTGCCAAAAGTAGCTTATTTCCCAAAGTGCGTTCCTATGTTAAAAGGGAGATTCTACCATTTTCTCTCAAGTCAGCTTGGCTTAACGTCAGCATCACAGCCTTTATCTAGGAACTCAGCAGGGTGGGGTCTCCCTGAAGCAGAGAGCCAATTGCCTCATTTGTGTGGGTGTGGCAGGTGAGAAGACCCAAGCTATGACCAAAAATCACATCATTGATTATTATTACGGTTCATAAACTTGGTAAGCCTGGATACATAGAACATTCTATCCACGAGTTAGATTAATACGCACAATCTTCTGCTAAACGTCTACATATGAGATACCTGCTTGGATGCTTAAGGAGATATCATTTTCTGCTCTCCTGTATATGACAGCTACGGTGTGTAATATACCAGGCGACTTGTCTTTAAAGTGAGCTATCCCAATATGTGCTCCATGTTTGTGTAATTATTTCCTATTTAGAGGCATAAAACTTCATATGTAAAAAACTGGATTTGGAAAATGTAAGTCTGTTTTACGATTCCTTGGAATGTCTTTTGAAGCTCAGCAACTGTTCGGTTTATGGCTTTATAAACCCTTCTCAAGCAACAGTCTCCCAGACAGAGAGGGGCGCCAGCTATTAAGGTTTATAGCCATGATGCCCCTCCCAATGAGTTTGCTGCCTGTGATCTTGTCATCATCCAGACCACATGTCACTCAAACAGAGAGGGGGGGGGGGGGGGATATCAGAGGAATTGGATTTGGGGAGAGAGACAATATGGAAAAGGGTTTTGGAGCAAAATGGATGAGCACGTGCCTCTCTGTGGGCACAATTGCTACAGTTAACACTCCAAAAAACAGCACATACTAAATAACAATTCAAAGTTGACACTTCCCAAGGAATTGCGTGGTTATACTCTTTGGCTGCCCCAATTGAGCCAGGATTCTCAGTGGACTCTGTGGGCAAGGCTAAGTTTCCCAAATATGGGGAAAAAAAACAATATTGCATCTTGTTTGCAAATTGTTGGCTAGCTTGGCTCTTTTATGGGATGCTGATTTTGAAGAAGGACTCCTGCATCAAACACTTGCCTCCCCAGAGGACTGACACTGCTGTCCAAATACGTTCCCTGGGCTACTTCATTGACACACACTATAGAAGAAGTGTGTCAATAGCCAGGCCACCACATGCAAAACCAGGCCACGACTTACAAACATTAAGCCTGCCACGGAAAGCTAGAGACACCTAAAAGTTGTGAGAATAAGAAAAAAGGACTTTTTGTTGTTTGGACTATCATTCTGCTTGACTTAGTAGACCAGGATAAGTTTGCTTTACACACCGTGTTACATCTTGCCTCGAGATTGGTTTGGGAGCATAGGATCTTACGCTGCCTGATTCTAGATGTGTGTGCCTATGGAATTTATGTGCCCAGTTGGACACTTGTTCCTCACTTCATTCCCTTCCCACCTCCTGTTGACAAAACACTGATATGTTAATTAGCAACAAATTGGATCCAAGTGGTTGTGTGTTGAGCAGCAAGTCAATTTGGCCCTCTATTAGCGTTTATTTGCTGCGGGACATTGCATGTAAGTGGTGTCTCATCCATAAACTGATAGTCCTTCCCAGAGCAGCTTTCAAGTCGTGGCTTCTGTGTAATGCCAATCCCAATTAGAAATGAGGTGAGGAGTAACATCTTGACAGAGTTGCCCACAGTATCCGTCCCACACATTATCTACTTGGTTGCACCTCCCCTTTTGCCAGTCTTCACAACTACACTCCACCAAGCTACCTTGAAGTCCTGGATGGACTGAAGAGCTACTCCAAATGTAAACAATGTAACGTGAATGGAGTGTTCTGTGTAAACTCTTGCAGCGGCATTTCACAAACGGCAGCAAACTAAGATTGGGAGTAGCTGCAGACAGCAAGCAGTCAACTTCAATCTTTATATATCCGAGTTTAGGATTGAAGGAGCTGGTTTACCTCTTTGAAACATGCAATCCTAAAGCTGGGACTTGCCAGACTTTGTTTGGACATTAACAAAAATTCAAGGTAAGCAAGATTGGCCACTGCAGCTGGAGCTAGCCGTGTACTGCAATGCTTTAGGAACATGCAGATCAGCTCCAACTGAAAATGAAAAAGATTGCCTACCTGCAAAGGCTAAAGAAGGCCACAACACAGTCCACTGTCAAAATATAAATAACATTTATTTATAAAAAACATTTAAAAAACATTAAAATTGGCGGAAATAGGCCACTATGTCTGGCTGGTTCTCGGCTGGCCCCCCTCCAATGCCTGCTCCAGCGTCCCAATACGTTCACACACCCAGCCTATGAGGCCTTCTTATGGCTGGGTGGTTGAACACTGTAGAAAAAGTCAGAAAAAAATGTATTTGCTGTAATTAAAAAAAGGAGAAACTTGCTTCCAAACAAACAGCATGCAATACTTGTCTAACTTTGTCCATTATCCTGAAAGCACTCTATGCTGTTGTCAACTCATAATTGGAACACAGAGCTTACATTTCTTGCCTGGGAGGATTTCATGGGCCAGGGAGTGAGTTTGGAGAATCCTTAGGCCTAGATTAGAGTGTTTGCTCACTGACTACAAATATATCTGTGGGCAACAGAAAAAAAGGGCAATCTCATCAGTAAAGCAACAGATGACTTTGCCACACCTATCTCCTCCACAGAGTTCCCAAAGACATCTATCCTAGATTTCGAATTAGCTGCAGGGAGGGGAGGGGTGGGGCCCTACACACATGCTCCTCAGCCAGAGCACAGAGCTGAGAAAATTCTGTGAGGCCTATTGGAGCCTAGTGGCCCAACTCCCTCCACGCAGGTCCAGAGATTCCTATAGAGCTGGCAGTGTGATTAACCAGGTGTGTCCTTGAAGGGAGGCAGTCCATCTCCCAGGAAGCTGGATGTGTCAGCTGCATCTATTTGTAGTGATTCTTTAAGATAGTGGAGAGACCAGAGTGGAACAAACACTAGTTACTTGGGAAGCAGGTTTTGGATCACTGGTGGGAGTGTCAGGTTTAGTGCTTGACTATTGTGTCATATTCTTTGTTTATTGCCCTTTCTTAATTAGAAAAACACTTTAATGTATGCCTATGTAGACCAACTCAGCTGTCAGGTCTAAGTGTGAAGATTAAGCCCCTATCTGCCTGATGTGTTGTTTAGTGTGAATGTTTTATTTCTTTGTGGGGGGCATCCTATACACAGGATGAGGCCAACCAATTTAGACAAGGGGGAGCTGAAGCCTTCTACATACGTTACATGTGCATATGTGTAAACAGTTTAGAAACTGACCTTCTGGGATGTCGGCCTCTGCATCCAGAGGGGGCTGTAGCTCCCCCATAGCATGGTGGGGCATGGGGAAGTACAACTACATGAAGAGTAACGAAAAAAAGACACAAGAAAAAGTTGCAAGTCCTGACATTTGACAAAACACATAGATGTTAAACAGTCACATAGTACAGGCCCCAGGTAGTTAAGCCCTAGCCCTGCCCAACATAGCAAAGTCCTCTTTCGGTTTGGGTTACTAAAGTAGATGACCAGAAGAGCTTAAGGGCAAATTCATTTGGCCACTTGTTGGCACCCACACTCCAGCAAGCTGCTCATTATACTACAATGCTAACATACTCTTTGGCTGTCCATTGACGATGTTCAAGATCACCTTAGGACGTAACCCAAAAGTCTTCCTTGCCCAGTGGTGTGGTTTGCCAGCATTCCAATGTTGGAGAGGCTTGCTCTTGACAAGAGGAATTGGCTCACACACATCAGTTTAGCTACGCTTACACTACAGTTAATGGTGGAAACACTCATTGGTCAGCCCTTGCAGCCATTCCCCACTTTCCTTTCTGGGGTCTACAATAGATGTGACTTACATCATCCCAAAGCAAGGGTCACAGGTCGGCAGCAGACCTGAAGCTTCACAGGAAGACGTCACAAGGTCTAAGTCTTTGACAGTCTAGCTGTAAAAGGGCTTAGTCCATACAATATTCTCCTCCCCTATGCCAAAACACAAATGCCCCCTCGAGTGTTAACACATGCACACTGCAAGGTGGCATTTGTAGCTTGGAGCAGATTGGGAATCACAAAAAAAAAAAAGTCTGGTGCCAGGCTTACCTCCCTTTACCAAACACATCTCATGTGACACCCCCACACATAGACACTGTGTAAAAGCAAATATTGTAAAGTTGATCACATTCACACAAATGGGACATACCTGGGTCCTGGGGCTCAGGGGAACTGGAGGGGAGTTGGCCCTCCTCCAAAAGACTGCACCTCTTCCTCCTCCTCCTCCATCCATTGGCTCCTGGGGGCTCTGGAGTGCAGCCACTCCCTTTCTGTAGTGCCAGTTAACTTGAAAAAAAACACAAGCAAAAGAGCTCCACATGTTAGTATAATTCGAGGCTTCGTAAACTTAAGAGTTTACTACAAACACACACACTGTTAAAACCAAGCCCTTACATTCTCTCAGACTTGAAGTACAAGGTGCAGACTTAACTCCAGATAAGTTTCGATAGTGTATGACCCTCTAGGGAGCCATGGAAGTCCAAGAAAGTCGAAAGTGAAATTCTGGCTCATGAACGTCCAAATAGAAGAGGGTGCACTCATGAAAATGAAAAAGAACAAAGTCCAATTCTTTATATCGGATATTGTAAGGGGTTGTGTGGTGTTAACAGCCACTGTGCCCTTAGCTGCAACATTTTCAAAGGTTGACACAAGGGAAAGGCCTTAACCATTGGATATTCAAAGACACACAACTCAGAACACTTCCCAAACACTGATAGCTGAGAAGCTCCTCAGAGATAGGCTCTCCCACCCTCTGCTAGTGTATTTTGGGGGCACATATCCTGTGTTCGATGGTTATTGTAAATTTAGTCAAAAGGCCAAAGTTTCTTGCCTTCATGCATTCGCAGCATGAAAGCCCCCCCACTGCTTGGCATCCTCCTCAGGCTCTAAAAAGAAAAAAATACTGACCTGCTGCCAATTATCATGCCATGCTGTGCTAGAGAGCAGAACTTTGGTCTCCGAAAGGTTATGGATGTGTACAGGCTACACATATAGAGCTAATAACTGCCTGGCCACTACACTAGAATCCACATTGGAAGCTGTATTCTCAAAACTGCTTGACCATGTGTGATAAGAAAAGCAAGCAATATTACTTAAAGTCTTACTAAACCCACAACAGTCAAAGCAGTGTAAATATTGCAGTAAAGCATCCTTGTTATACTCGCTGTGTAACCTAAGGGGTTAATACTCTGTCTTGTGTAAAAAGGCTGTTTGATCCTGTCTTCTCTGCCCTCCTCTTGTTGAAATGACTCACCTGATACAGACTGAATCCGTAATCACATGCACATGCTCAGTTTGCTGTGCATTGCTATTACTTTTTGGGTGTTGGTTTGGGGAGGGTGCATGTGATCAGCATAGGGCCAATCAGCACTGTTCACATAGAGGGCCAGAAGATTCACACCATCCTAGAGCAGAAAGAAAAATACTCAAAGTTTAACAGAGCTCTGCTGAAGTCACAAGACTGCTCTAACTGCTGATGATAAAAGTCATTTAGCTTTTTTTATGGCCTTAAATACTTGCACTGCCATGTTCTGTTTTATTGCGGGAGACCAGACAGAGTGAATTCTGGGTACAGGGAGAGCGGATATAGTCAATGCAGGGTCCTGCGTAGACCAGATAGAGTGAATGTGGCCTTCGGGGTTTAGTTACACTCTAAGCCTGACATACATAATTAAAAGGGAAGTCCAGCCAAAGATTTTTTGCCTGTACCTGTCCTGTGGATTACAGAAGTGTAGTTCATTTGGCACTCCTGCGACACATTTTCAGGGGACAGCTGCATTCTATCCACTGAAGTCACACAGCATGGCCAGATTGATCAAGATCCCGACTTTCAAGTCATGATATATGCAGACTCTGGAGCAGCAACTGGATCAGCCTAGCCACGAATAACAAAGAGTTTTAGCCTGCCAGTGCCTCCCCTCCACAGCACAGTAAGTGCTGGGGGGTTGAGCTGACAGCAAACATGTGATTGCAGATGTCACAGCGTGCCTGATCTCCCAGAAACCCCCCCCCTCCTGGTGCTGTGTCCCCTCACCCCCCCCCTTCTCATCCTGTAGCAGCCTTTGAAGTTGGGCTGCACAGGATGAGAAGTGTCACTTCTCCCCCCCTGCTGCTTGTCATTTCCTCCCATCCTGCAAAGCCCCATGGGAGGAAGGCGACCCCCTGTGGCGGGAGTCACACCTCTCTTGGCCATACAGCCCCCCCCCCAGCGGCTCTAGCACGGGTGCGAGGCTTCCCGCACCTGCACCGCCGGAGACAAAGAGAGCAAGGCCCGTGTCAAGAGGGCGTGCCTCGTTGCCCGGGCAATGCAGCGCTGGGCTGGACGTTGCCAGGGCGCCGACAGCAGGATTCTCCCAGTTGTTTTGTCTGCTGCGAAGCTGCTGGGAGGTCTGCGCTGAGGCGAGACCCCCGCAGCCACTCTGCATAATACTCTGGGGATACCAGGATTATTAGCCGCTGAACACTCTGCTAATACTCGGGGCTCAGGAGGAGTACCCGCTGCTACACTGCCTAATACTGTGAGGCCAGGATAGCACGTGTTGCAGTGTGCTGTAGAAGTTGACCCTCTCGTGTGTTGATAAGTGTCGCCCCCTGTTGTAGGCGCTGTGAGCCAGGGAAAACCCCTGCCGGAACTGTGAGTGTTTCCCCTGTATAGAACGGCTGTTTTCCCCCTTGTATGGAACGGCTGTGAACTCTCCCTCCTTTCCCTTCCCTGCCTGGATTACAATTTAACAGAGACTCTAAGTTTGCCCTTCTTGGGGCCAAATTACAATATTTTGGGGAGCCATCCCTGCTCTTCCCCCTGCCCCGAGAACTTGGACGCTACCTTCATACCCAAATTGAGTGACTGTCCTAATTCAAGAAAGCTTTGTGTGTTTATCATCTGCTCTGTGTGTTCAGTCCTGCCTACGCTCCATCACAGGCAGAGTTACCACCCTTACAACCTAAGGGGGGGGACAGATGAAGTATTGGACCAATGCTTCAACCACCTAGGTAAGTTGCAGTAGTGGAAACAAAAACAAGGCCGACTTAGATAAGAAACTACAGTCCGGCCAATATTAAGCAGTCAAATTAGCCTACAGCTATGGTCAGCATGATTGTACAGAAGGAAAATCACCAAACACATTGAAGGTACTTACAGTGGACCTGAGGGGGAGACCACTCCTCCCTCTGCTCTTCCTCCAGCTCACCCTCTTCCAATATGGCTGGAGCTACACAAACAACAAGAAAGAACAAAACCAACACATTGCAAACCTCAAACTGACATAATGCACACAGAGAACAGGCAAGCACATCCAAGGCACTTACAGTGAGCTGGAGGTGAGGGGGCCTCCTGCTGCGGGCCAAATTCTGGAGGTGGCTAGTGGGCCCTCCTCCTCCTCCTCCTCCGGAGAAAACCTTGCTTGAAACTACACAAACAAGAAAGGACAACAATAACCCCTTTGAGAGAGCCAAGGACAACAAGGAACACAGAGAACAGACAAGCACATTCAGTGAACTCACAGTGTGCCTCAGAAGAGGGATCCTCCTCCTCTTCCTCTTCCAACATGGCTGGTGGTGCTACATAAACAACAAGATAGAACAGAACACACTGCAGACATCAAAGTTACATAATGCACAGAGAGAATAGGCAAGCACATCCAAGACACTTACAGTGAGCTGGAGGTGAGGGAGTCTCCGGCAGCACAGGCGACCGTGGAGACGGGGGGGTGCCGCCTCCTCCTCCTCCACTGTGGGCAACCTTGCTGGTACTACACAAACAAGAAAGAACAACAACCCCTTTGAGAGAGCCAAGGACAACAAGGAACACAGAGAACAGACAAGCACATTCAAGGCACTTACGGTGGCCCTCCTCTTCACTCTCTTGTTCTACAAAAAGAATAACACAGAATTGGAACATTACTAACCTAAAAACATGGCAGATGTTTAGTCATTTCTCACAACTGTGTGCCAAAGCTAAGGCCACAGGGCTGAATGACAACTGTCCATTTCCTGGGTGTCAGGCCACACATACAGGCACAATTGCGTTTGTGTCCCTAATTTGTTGTGTTTTGACTTTGGATGTACATCCACTGGGGCAGACTGCATCCTTTTCCACAACTTTGTCCACCGCACTACAGCAGATAGCAAGTCATGGTAGGAGAATGATTTGTTTTTTTTTTTATATAAATATTTATTAGTTTATCAATCAAAATACAAATCAAATTCACATTTCTATTAAAAAGACATTTATTATTATTATTACTACGAGTTTATATAGCGCCAAAGGGTTTGCTCAGCGCTGTACAATAGGGGGGACAATACATGGCACAGTACAACAACAACAAACAATGTACGAGGGGTAAGAGGGCCCTACTCTTACGAGCTTACAATCTAGGAGGGAGGGGGGTAAAAGGTACAGTAGGAAGTGGCTGAGGGGGATGAAGTGGTGGGAGGAATGAGGGAGGATGGCCGTTAGGTGAGGGTGGGGTAGGCTTCCCTGAAGAGATGGGTTTTGAGGGAGCGCCTGAATGTGAATAGGGAAGGCGACAGTCTGATGGATTGGGGCAGATGGGGAGGACCTGGAGAAGTCCTGCAGTCGTGCATGGGAGGAGGAGACCAGGGAGCAGGATAGAAGGAGGTCCTGTGAGGAGCGAAGGGTACGGGTAGGGTGGTACTTGGTGATAAGGTTGGTGAGGTAGTCAGGGGCAGTGTTGTGAACGGCTTTGTAGGTCAGGGTTAGGAGTTTAAATTTGATGCGTTGGGCAATCGGGAGCCAGTGGAGGGAGAGGCAGAGGGGGGTGGCAGAGGTGAAGCGGGTGGTGAGGTGGATGAGTCTGGCAGCTGAGTTCAGGATGGTCTGGAGCGGGGAGAGCCTGCACTTGGGTAGGCCAGTGAGGAGGGAGTTGCAGTAGTCAAGGCGTGAGATGATGAGGGAGTGTACTAGAAGTTTGGTGGTGTCTGGGGTGAGGAAGGAGCGTATCTTGGCAATGTTGCGAAGATGGAGCCTGCATGTGTTTGTGAGTGATTTGACATGCGGTTGGAGGGAGAGGTTCGCGTCAAGAATGACACCAAGGACTTTGGCTTGCGGGGCGGAAGTGATAGTGGAGTTGTTGGTGATGATGGATAGGATGGGGGGGGGGGGGGGGTGGCAGGGGGAAAGACGGGAAGCTCGGTTTTGGAGAGGTTGAGCTTGAGGAAGTGTAGCGACATCCAGTCTGAGATGTCATTTAGGAGGTGAGTGATGCATGGGGCGAAGATAGTGGGGGTGAGGTGAGGGGTGGAGAGGTAGATTTGGGTGTCGTCAGCATAGAGGTGATAGTTGAAGCCGTGAGATTGTATGAGTTTGCCCAGGGAGGAGGTGTAGATGGAGAAGAGAAGGGGTCCAAGGACAGAGCCTTGGGGTACCCCCAACAGAGAGGGGGAGGGAGGGGGAGGTGGCACCATTGTAGGTGACACTAAAGGAGCGTCGGGATAGGTAGGATGAGAACCAAGAGAGAGCAGTATCTCCGATGCCAAGGGAGAGTAGTTTATTAAGGAGGAGGGGGTGGTCAACTGTGTCGAAGGCCGCAGAGAGGTCCAGGAGAAGGAGGACAGAGTAGTCGCCCTTGGCTTTGGCGTTGAGTAGGTCGTTAGTGATTTTGAGGAGGGCAGTTTCAGTGGAGTGTAGGGGACGGAAGCCGGACTGTAGAGGGTCAAGGAGGTTATTGTCTGTAAGGTGAGAGCTTAGGCGATCGTAGACTAAGCGTTCAAGGAGCTTGGAGGTGAGTGGCAAGCTCCTTGAAATATCCTCCTATTATGCAAATAGGAGGATATTTAGACAATATCCTCCTATTTGCATAAATTATTTAAATCCCTCTCCTCAACCCTCCATCTTCCTCCCTCCCCCCCTCCTCAGCCTCCCCCCGACCCCCCACCTGCCTCTCCCACTCTGCGGTTTTCTCTCTTCTCTTTCACACCATACATTTCTGTTATTTCTAAATCCATTTCAAGGGGTGTTATATCCTCATATATTTCACTTTTCCTCTATACTCTTCCCATTTTTTCCACTTTGTATTGTACATCGCCATCTTATCTATATGCATGTAATACAATCTTTCTAACCCGCATGTCTGGTTCACTCTGCCCATCCAATCCTCCTCTGTTGGCACCTCTCTTTTTTTCCAGAACCTGGGTATCAGACTCTTCGCTGCACTCAAGTAATGCCATATCCCCAAGGCCTTATATAATTTCACTGGAAGCTCTGTGATATGGAGGAGACATAACTCTGGGTCTAATCCAATATTAATTTTAGCGATTTTCCTTACTAAATAAACTATTTTCCGCCAGAACACCTGTATTCTTGAACACTCCCACCACATATGATACCACGTACCTATCTCTCCACAACCTCTCCAACACATCCGTGAGATCTCCCCATTCAATTCATGCTCTACATTAGGTGTAATGTGCCATCTCACCAAACACTGTTGTAATTTTTTTCCACCTCTCGCATACTAATATTTTCGTGAATTAATCTGAACATTTTCCTTTGCTCCTCTTCATCTATTTCCCTTCCCATATCTCTTTCCCATTTCTCTATATATATTAATTTTATATCAGTGTCTAATTCGGTTAATATTTTATATATTTTTGCAATTCCATGTCTCCCATCTCCCCGTGCGTCCAACAATCTCTCCAATGGATTCCACTCTTTTCTAGTTCTCATAGGCTTTGGGAGATTTTCAAAGAAATGTTTCAGTTGGTAATATCGGAATCGATCCATCTTATTGAAAACTTCTCCCTTTTTTTTCTCCAGCTCTCTATATGATCCCAATTCCTCCCCAACCATTATATCTCTCAATTGTGCCACTTGTTTTATAATGCATTTTCCTGAGATGTTTTCCTGCCCAGGGGTAAAATATTTTGTGTTCCTTAGTGGCATTAACTGTGAATTAAAAACCCATCCCCTCTGTCTGTGTAACATTTCCCACACTCTCAAAACATTAAAAGTATACGTGCTTGTGCTTTCCTCTAATCCCCTATATTGTGCTGGCACCCATATAATCTTACTTAAATTTGATCCACTCAGTGTATTTTCGATTTTGACCCAGTTTTTCTCTGGATTATGAGTCCAGTCAAAAATTCTCGCCATTATCACTGCTTTATAATATCTCTTAAAGTCTGGTACACCCAGTCCGCCTCTTTCTTTACTTCTATTCAAGACTTCATAGCGTATTCTAGGCTTTTTATTCCTCCATATAAATCTTATCATTTTTTTAAGTTCTTTAAAATATGTCTCTGGGAGTTTAATTGGAATCATTTGAAATTTATATAATACTTTGGGCACAATTACCATTTTTATCAAATTTATGCGACCTATCCAGGACGGGTTTCCACCTCCCACTCTCTTCAGCTCCTCCTTAAGTTCGTTTAATAGTGAAATATAATTAGCTTTATATAGATTCTTGGTTAAGGCTGACAGTTTTATCCCTAGATACTTTAGTTCTTTATCTCTCCAAACAAATGGGAATTCTCCTTGTATTTTTTCTTTTTCACTATTTTTAAGGTTTATATTTAAGATTTCGTTTTTTTGTCGGGTTAATTTTTAAATTTGATAATTCCCCGTATTCCTTCAGTATCTTCATCAAATTTGGAAGTGACATTCTGGGATTTCCAACATAGAACATCAAATCATCCGCATAAGCCGCCACCTTATGTTCTCTATCTCCTATCCGTGTTCCCTTTATATCTATGTTCTTCCTTATCGTAGACAGCAGTGGCTCCAATGATAGAACATATAACAGTGGGGATAATGGGCATCCCTGTCTTGTACCATTTGACATCTCGAAAAGCTCCGATCTTCCTCCATTAACCATGATAGCGGCAGTAGGCCCTCTACATAACCTTCCAATCCACTTCCTCATTCTATCTCCTATCCCCATCCCCTCCAAGGTGTCCATCATAAAGCCCCAGCTCACTCTATCAAATGCTTTCTCGGCATCAATTGACATCAGTATCATTGGGGTTTTCTCTTTTTTTTACCTTCCTGTATGAGCAGCAGTGATCTCAGACCGTTGTCTCTACCCTCTCTCCCTGGGACAAACCCCACCTGATCTTCGTGTATCCATTCCGGTGTAGCATGAAAATCTGTCTCTTATGAGGATCTGCCCCCCTCGACGTATCTGCGCATGTGCCAGTCTCAGGCATTAGCAGCGGATCGGCGATCTCATCCTCTCACACTGTTAACCCATTTTCTGCCGGATGCAAGGTATACGAAACGCTGAATCCCATCCCTCGGATCACTGGGGCTGATGATCCTCCCACAAGATGTATTCTCGCTGTCACACTGTAACCCCTTGTATGCTGGATTCAACTTACACGAACTGCAAGATGTCTACAAGCTGCAGGGGGTTGTGACAAGGTGAGTACAGTCACCTGTGGGGGGATCACTGACATGGGGGGGGGGGCCATAACGTGTTGGTGGTGCAGTTACATTTGGGGGGGCTAGTCACATGGGGGGTGGGGATTTGCGTCAAGGGTGGCAGATTATCACTGGGGACTGAGCTTGCTGGTACGGGTGGGGGGTTGCTTGCGTCAAGGGGGGGCAGATCAGCACGGGGACTGAGCTTGCTGCTATGGGGGTGGGAGGGGGTTGCGTCAAGGGGGGGCAGATCTGCACGGGGACTGAGCTTGCTGCTATGGGGGTGGGATGGGGTTGCGTCAAAGGGGGGCAGATCTGCATGGGGACTGA